AAGAGATGTAGATTATGTTGCAAACTGTAGAATTAACTGAATTGATAATTAAATGACACCATTAATTTAATTCTGAATTTTGCTTTATTCAGTTTACATGTATTACAGCGCATTACTTTCCTGTACAACAACATCATCGACAGATTTTACAATGTTCATGCTTCTGATCTTCTCACTTCAAAGTCACTGAAAGCGTTTTCTACTCGCTCGGAATCCCTTTCATTAACGTTAAACACCACGCGTACTTTGTGAGCTCTAGCCTGTGCCAGGCTCTCAGATAGTATAGTGCAGACGTATTAAAACGAGGAAAGCAAAAATAAGACGCGCGCGACTTGGCAAAGGGGGAAGGCGGCGAGAAAAAAGGGAGAGAGAGCCTGTTAGCATTTCTTTAACGACCCTCTCCCGCCCATTTTTGTCACGTCTGGATTCGGCTGTCAAAACTGTTAACACTTCAGTTAGATACAATCATTCGCAAGTTTCTCGCGCGAGCATTTCGCGTGATGCGAACTCCTTGTGCGAATTTGTGGAAATTCATGTCTTCGAATTCGTTATCCTGTGAGAGCATCCGGTTTTTTCGGCTCTAGTTTCTAGTTTTACCCGCCGAAGCGACCACCAGAAATACATCTGCTGTTCGCAGGCTACGAATTCGTCAACGGCGTCTGCGAATCTCGCACTCGATCATTCAAAGTGCTGCAGGTTTTATAGTAATAAAAGGGGGCGGTAAGTTTTTTCCTTTGTTGGGTAGGTTATGCTCTGGAAGGTTCTGCATTTTCACTGAGCAAATGTGATTTTAGCCGCTTGTTTCACACTGAGAGGTCATGGCACGCATATCGATTTACTGTGGCTTTTGTTTCTGGTCGGCAGGATTTGCCCTCTGATAAGAGAGCATTTTCTTTGACCTCTTTGGAACGTAAAGCTTTTTATTGTGGCTGAATAAGGGTTTTAATTTTCTCCAAAGTGCCTTCTGGATCTGACTAACTAAGTGATTTTCTTTAGTCCGTAAATGCAATGTTTTTCTGCAATGTTGTATCACGCTGGGCCCAGCTCGTTAGTTTTCTTTGCAGAATGTTAAATTATCACGGATAGTGATTTACAGATCCAGAATTATGAGAATGAAGTGCAGCTTAAACTTGGGCTACATCAACTAAGGAGAATTGCATTGTGACTCAGTAAACTCCAGCTTAGTTTTTCTCTTATGATAGTGTGAGTCTCTTGACTGGAGCGCGTAGTTTCTCCCTTGGTAGTAGCTTTTTAAAGCTTAACAGTCTTTGGACTGTTTTTTTATTGCCACTTTGCGATCAGCCAGGTCTCCGGACTACCGAAAACAATTTCGCACTTTCCTTCTCTCGCTTTCTACGCGTCCTCCTCCCCCTCTTCACCGATGCCAATAGCTGCGGCCGAAAGTCCAAGCTTTTAGAAGTAAGTGTTCCACTTGGTCTCGCATTATAGATATCAGCGGCGAATGACTATTATCGTAGAGTTTTCTGAGGTTGGAGCAGCTTTAGCCAAGCGTGGGAATAGCTGAAAGATTAAACTTTTGCCGAAACCGGTTGGCATAATAGCGAAAACATTTTACCGCGAGCCAAGTCGCAGACACTCTTCTAGCCTGAGATTAGCCAAAAAAAAAATAATAACGCCTGATCTCAGGTTAACACTCGTCCAAAGCACAAGACAACGCACATTCATCAAGATCACACGCACGATTCGCGTTGGCCATCTAGGTGATGACAAACTGATGACCACGCTACTAGGTGATGATGTTAACTGTCACAATTGACCAATCAGAGGGTATATCAGGAGCTGATATACCGGAACAGGCCTCTTCAGGCCGTCCTCAACAATTATAAGAACTTGCTTTGTTTTTACAATATTACATGAATCCTTTGACAAAATTTCGTCGTTCAATGCAGCAATATTGTTATCCACTCCTTCCTGGTAGCTTTTCGGTTTGATCTTGTCACTCTCCATATTATCCATACTTGCGACTATTCGCGAAATTGCAAGTATAGAAAGACAGCTGTATACCGTGTATAGAGACCACATTGTCAGGTTCTTTCGTGACATGTTCTGCTTTGGACAGTCAAAACGTCAATAGCATAGTTTGCTTTTCAATACTCCCAGATACAATCGACAGAACTTGTTCTCGCAGAGGCAAAGTGCTGCTATAGTTAAGTCAGATAACTGATATAAGAAGACTGAATCGACTGTCCTATTTTGTCACTCGCAAAGAGCATGACACGGAACGAGGTTGACAGAACGCGGACTTACAGCTGTTCACCTTAGGTGGGCGCGCGTAATGTCTGTGTTTGTCTTGACTGCAGATAATTTGAGTCAGCTTGTTGTTGTGCGTGCGGGAATTATGGCTACCAACTTTCGCGTTGAGATCATTGGGACAGATTCTCGAAGAGAGCAAAACACAACTTTAGACAAAAACACCGTGCTTGAAAACCTGCCGCAAGTGTTAAAGGACAAATTTGAGTTGGAGATCATCGGACAAGGTACAAAATTGCCGAATCTTTGTGAAATGCTTTTGTATAGCAGAAAATTGGTTTTGTTCCCCGTTCCTCTTGAACCGTTTACTTCGTTTTCCTTGTTATAGTGAAGGCAAAAGCCTCGAATTGGGATGTTATCACTCCTTTTAGGTCTTTTGGGAACTCGAACACGATTGAGAAGGCTTTTGGAAATTTGGAAATGGAAATCCAAGTTTCCACATATCCGGAAACAAGTGACAGGTGAGAAAGGTCAACGGTAGTAAATGTTAAACTGAAATAAAAATTGCCGGATCGCTATATACTGAAACTTTCATATCGGACTGTTTTGAAACCAGCGTTTTCTTTTCAAATTAGCAGTCCATGGAATGAAGAAAAGGTGAAAAGTACTGTTAAAGACCTTTTACAAAGTGGAAACTTCACCCAACAGAGTCTCTCCAGGGAGTCGCCTCTGAGCCAGGTTGGTCGCACTTTATCTGAAATATTAATCAGCGCTTTCTTCAATCAGTTCAATTCCTGGTTGCGAGATTAATTTTATGCTCTACTAACGCTGCTGAAAATCAACTTCTAGGGCTTGCTATCGCAGATTGTAAACGACAAATAGAGGTAAAATTGGGCGAGAGAAAATAATGCTTTTCAAGCAGTGGTTCGGACGATACAACTCTTCTGAACGGAGTGAACAGAGTGAACCTCCCACGAAGAAACGCCGAGTTGCTTATGATCCCATCACTGAAGTTCCAAAGCTTCAGTGGTGGTTTCAAGCTAACCACGGCCGTGCTGATGAGAAAAAACTAAAGAAATATGCTGATGAACTAAACCAGGGGTCCTTTAGGGAGCATCGAGAGAAAATCACTGTAAATAACATCCGCACGTGGTTTAAGAATAAGCGACAAAATGGCGG